AAAATCATAGTGCTGAAATCTCTCTGCTCAACGAGTCAATTGACCCTCCAAATTTTTAAAAGACATTAACCATCTAAGAGAAGCATGATCAGTGCGAACCAGAAATTCCCGTATAGATAGTGATGGAAAGATTTTATCGAGTCAATCATCGCTAATAATTCCCGCCGCGTGACACAATAATTTCTTTCAGCTTTGCTCAATATTCGGCTATAATACGCGATGACTCTCTCAGTTCCCTGTTGTACCTGCGACAAAACCGCACCAACACCATGATCAGAAGCATCAGTATTGAGAATAAACTCCCCTTTCTCAGAAGGAAAAGAAAGTACAGGAGGAGACGTCAACGTTCGCTTCAAAGCTACAAACGCCTCCTGAAACCGGTCAGTCCAAACCAACTTAACCTGGTTCTCAGTCAAAGCAAACAGCAGTTTCGCAATCAAAGAAAAACCCTTCACAAATTTATGGTAATAGAAACAAAATCCTAGAAAACTGCAAACTTGCTTTTTATTTTGCGAAACAGGCCACTCCGCCATAGCCGCAACTTTTTCAGGATCAATCGAGATACTCTCAACAGAAATTACATGACCTAAATATTTCACCTGCTTCCTAAACAAATTACATTTTTTAGGATTGAGCTTTAAATTAGCCGCTCTGAGCCTCAGAAAAACTTTTTCCAAATTAGCTACTATCTCCTCAAAAGACTTACCGAAAACAACGTCATCCAAATAAACTAACCAAATTTTGATTAACAATTGCTGAAGAACTCGCTCCATCGTACGCTCAAAAGTGGCTGAAGCGTTGCACAAACCAAAAGGCATCACCGTAAACTGCCATAGTCTGTTGCCTACCGAGAAAGCAGTCTTTTCCTCTGGTCGAATTTTCAACTGCCAATATCCACTTTTCATGTCCAGAGTGGAGAATCGCTCATTTCTGGATAATTGATCCAGAAGATCGTCAACCCTAGAAAGAGGATAAGAATCCTTGATCGTGACCGCATTAAATTTACAATAATCCTATCAAATTAAAATTCGCAATCGACACGTCGGAGCCCGTATCAAACTTAAAAGAACACGGTTTATTATTTAAAAAACCAGAAAACACAAATAAATTATTTTTCTTAACATTAACTCTTCCATTAGAAAATTCTTCTTCCGGGATGTCCCACCCCTTAGCCGAACCCATCCCCAAAAGCTCGACTAACCCTTGTTTCCCGACAAGTTAGCCGGATATTCAAAACGGAAATGCCCCTTCTTACCGCACTTCCAACACTCTTTTTCTTTCCTCTCACTATTACCCTTTTGCTTCTGCTCCCCTTTCATTCCGTTCTCCGTCCTTCCCCTGTTGCGAAAATTTCCATTCTTAAACCCGGCATTCCGCTTGACTTCCGTTTGTTCGCCGTATTTCGCAAAATTGTTTGGCGCTTCCCCGCTCGCTCTAAAACTGTATTCTAGTATCAGTTTGATCGTCTTAGCTCGTTCGACAGCAGCTTTCAACGAAACTACGTTCTCAAGCTGCAGCGTTCGATTGACAAAGCCGTCAGAGAGGGCAGCAATAAACTGCGCACAAGCAATCTTCTCCCGAATCTCGTGTGTGCATTCGGGATACGCGAGACGCGACAAACGCTCTAAGTCCGCGCCAATCGTCGCGAAATTCTTGCCGCTCTTCTGTTTCTGATTTGTGAATTGTACATAATAGCTTTGGAAAAGCTCTTATGTTCCCCGAAACGCAACTCCAGCCGAGAACGTATCTCGGAGTACGAAAAATCCTTTTCTAATCCTTCTAAGACGGAACGCGCTTTTCCACGCAAATTCGTCGCGAGCATTATCGCCCTTGTCTCGCCATTCCACCCGTTCGCGCGCGCGACTAACTCGAATTGAGTCAAAAATTCTCGCAACAGTCCGCTTCCGTCAAACACGTCCGGCTTAACTTTACTATTCGACGACATCACGCCTACGCAATTTAAAGAATTTGGTAACGACTCGCCTGATATAAATACATCGCGGCGAAGCCGCTCCTTTAAGCAACAAACGTCCTCCTTTCGGCGCACGAAATTACTGAATTCCTGCTCCTTCTGGCGGAACGAATCTCTTTCCCGACGACGCTTCTCCCTCAGCTGCTCCAGCACCTGCAGGACCGCGCACAGCGTTTCGTTCTCGGACGTTGTCGTCGCCGCCGCCGGCGCCTCTACCGCCTCTGTTGCTCCTACCGCAACCTGATTGCGCGTTCTCAGCGGCAAATGTACTAAAGCCATGCCGCCGTTTTCTCTCAAGCTCGATCCCGGAAATTCGCTTCGAAAATATTCTTTCACTCCGTCCGTTCACTATCCTGGACGAGCCCTCGCCGTCCAAAATTTGTCGCACCGCCGTCGCGTTTCCGCGATTTGGTAATAAAAAAACACGTGGTACAACTCAAAACGCGCTTTATTAAGAAATACAGCGAAAACGTAAGAAAATACAGAAAACAACCGGAGCTTCTCTCCGCACGTCCGTTCCGCTCCGGTCCCCGTTTTGATCTCTCTTGAACTCCGCTTGCAAACAAACCTGTTGCCAACCCGTTCTTCTGTCGAACAAACGCCGCTCAAATAAACGATCGAACACGAAACGACATACCTCTTTTTTTTTTTTTTTTTTTTTTTTTTACATGGGGGAAATCTTTTATGGATACCCTGGCCCCTGGGGGAGGGGTCAGGGTTATGTGGGAGTCCCTCCCTCTACCCGCAAATCGGGGGAGGTGTACCCACTAAAACCCACCATGGTGTGCCTACCGTGCCTGTTGCGCTGANGACTCCCGGGACCCCGTTAGGACTGCGCCGGGAGCCCCCCCAGGCGTTCAAACTGCCCTCTCAGGGAGAGGAGNAGGAAGGGAAATAAGCTCCGGTGCCTCCTCTCTCCCAGGCCCGACAGGGCCATCCATCTTTGGCGGCACGACAGGGCACACGCCGTCGCGCCGCCCCTTCCCGGGGGCCGCGTGCAGGACGGATCGGGGCCCCCACCCCGATCCGTCGCGGNCCCTGCGGTGGCCAACAAACAACAAATCACCCTCTTCCGGGAACGGACGGTACCGCCCCGGGACCACCGCTCTGCGCCCTCTCTTTTCCGATGTTNCCCGCTGNGGCGGTGAGCTAACGGAAGAGCCGGCTCTCCCAACGCCCACCACCCCAGTCTTCCCTCCTCCTTCTCCTTCTGCTCCCTAGCCGGGNGGTTANGAAGGAGAAGAGGANGGGACTATTGTCACCGTTGATGACTTGCTTGCCGGNNACCAAGGCCTGGGGGAAAACGCGCGCGGGAAGCGGGTGCTCGCCGGCACCCCGCTCGCACGCGCCCCCGAGGCNCCCCGCAGGGAAGACGCTCTCTCTCCCTGTCGCGCTCATCGGCCTCCTTCTGCTCCATAACCGANGAGCAGAAGGAGACCACCGCGCTCCACANCTCCTTGTCCCTGGAGGCAAGGGCCTTGAGTAGGCCCTCCAGGGACAAGTCGTCCCCGATTTGGGCGACCAGCGATCGGCGCTCCTGATCCCACCGTGGGCACTCCTCCACGGTGTGTTCCACCGAATTGCTGGCCGCCCCGCACTGGTGGCACCGCGTCGTCGGCTCTTTACCGATGCGACTCAGGTACTCCCCGAAACAACCGTGTCCGGTGAGCACCTGAGTCACCCTGTAGGTGAGACGGCCGACCCCATTNTCTAGCCAGACCTCGAGATGGGGTCGGAGGACCGCGACGACTTNCTGGACCGCCACNTGTGGCTCGTCCAGGTACTGCTCCCAGTCGAGGAGCAGTTGTCGCCGGGCCTGGCGCTCCGACCTGGCGAGGGCCTCCTGCAGGGTGTTCTCTGCCAGACCCTCCCGCAGGAGTTCGACCCGGCGAGAATACCTCGCCGAGTACATACCCGCAAGGAGGGCCAAGGGAGGCACCCCCGCCAGTACGCCCGCCGTTGCTGTGGCCACGTCCCGGAAGCCGCTAATAACCTTGAGGGTCATTGTCCTCTGGGCGGAGCGCAGCGAGCCAAAACTGCTCGCTGCTCCCGCCCTCTTAGCGGCCTCCGCCTACAACGGCGACCCATAAAGGGCCACCGAGTGGACTACATTTGTGTACAAACGGCGGACCTTCTGCTTCGGGCCCCCAAGGTTGGGTAGTAGTCTGGTCAGGGAGTTGGCCACACTGCGCACCCTGGGGGCCAGACGAGCGAAGTGCTCGTCAAAGCGCCACTTCGGGTCGAGGTGGAGACCCAGATACTTGATGGTTCGACCCACCTCAACCCGTGCCCCACCTATTTGGAGACTGGTGTCCGCGGGCCGTCCTCTGCGGAGGCCGAAGAACATAGGCTCCGTCTTGTGGACGGCCACCTTGAGACCCAGTCTCTCGATACGGCCGACGACGCACTTGGTGCCGACCTCGGCCAATCTCCGTGTCTCCTCCAGGGTCTCCCCAGTGGCTACGACGAAGGTGTCATCCGCGTAGCAAATAACACCCAGGCCTCTGGGGAGAGCGGCCCGGATCACCACGTTGTACCCGAGGTTCCATAGCAGGGGGCCCAGTACCGAGCCCTGCGGGACCCCGCGGTACATTTCTCGTCTGTGTGGCGATCCGTACCGACCAGTGTACCTGATATGCCTGTCGCGGAAGAAGTCTCCGAGGATCCTACTTAGATAGGGCGGAACCCTGTGACGCTCCAGGGCCCACCCTATACTGTCCCAGGGGAGGGAGTTGAAGGCGTTGGAGATGTCAAATGACACCGCCAACGCCCACCCCCCCTGCCTGACCGACGAGTCCGTGAGGGACTTGAGTCGAGCGACAGCATCGACTGTCGACCGTCCCCCACGGAACCCAAACTGGCAGTCGGCCAGGTCGGAACCCACCCGCGACAGGTGCTCGACGAGGCGTGCGGCAATGATGCGCTCCAAGAGCTTGCCTGCCTCGTCGAGCAGACATATTGGCCGGTACGCGGACGGAGAGTCCGCAGGCCTTCCACTTTTCCGGAGGAGCACGAAATTGGCCCTCTTCTAATCGGGGGGGAACCAGCTGGTCCTCAGGCAGCCTGTGAGCAGTTGCCTGAGGCGGTCTCCCAGGGGACCCTGTCCGAAGGCAAAGCCCAGTACCTTGCCGGGCACGCCGTCGGGGCCGGGCGCGGTGTTTTTCCGCGCCATCCGACAAACGGCCCGGCGGAGCTCCTCTTCCGTGACCCCCAGGTTGTTGGACCACTCGACTGGGTCCAACTCCGGCTCCCGGGGAGGCCAATCACCCCTCCCGTCGGGGAAAAGGGTGGAGACGACCTCCTCCAGGAGTTGGGGGTCTAGACTCTCGGTGATTGGGGGCGTCCACGGCCGCAGCTTGTTCATGACAAGCCTGTACGGACGCCCCCATGGATCTGCGTCGAGAGTCTCCATGAGCTCCTTCCACGCCTGAGACTTTGCCTTCATAACGGCAGTACGCAGGGCCTTGTGCGCAGCGCGATAACCCTGGTACTCCGGTTCCGCTGCTCGTTGCGCCCCTTCGCCGTTGTTGACAACTCGGCGACGGGCGCGGGTGAACCGGTGTCTGGCGCGAATGCTCTCTACGCGGAGAGCGGCAATTTCGGCCGTCCACCAGTACACCGACCTCCGGGTCGGAGGGCCCCGGGAACGTGGCATGGCCGCGTCGTACAAAGCGACAAGCGTGTCCCGGAACCACTCGTACTCGTCCCGGAGGTCACGTGGCTCGGCCGGTGGTTTTGCCCAAGCCACGGCCTGAGCAGCGGCGGACAGGATATCCGGGTCCATCTTCCTGAGGACCCACCCCTGGGATAGGGGTTTCCTTCTCGCCCCGCGGCAGCCCCGGAGGCGGTCCGGGAGTGGGGAGACCCTCATAGTGATGTACCTATGATCGGAGAGGGTCTCCAGATCCTCCCTAACTCGCCACTCGTGCACACGGCCCGCGACGCGCGGAGAAGCAAAGGATACGTCAACGACGGATCCTCCGGCGCGCCGGATGCACGTGTGCCGCGATCCCACATTTAGCAGAGTGAGACCGCAGGCTGCCATACAGTCCTCAAGGGCCCTTCCTCTGTCATCCGTCCTGGGGGAACCCCAAGCCGTTGACTTGGAATTAAAGTCCCCCAGGACAAGTACCTAGCGAGCAGAGTGGCGGAGCACAACCCGCTGCAGCTCGCCCAGGTATTCCTCGAACTCGAAGAAGGGCCTTGTTGGCGAGAAGTAACCTCCTACGACCACCAGTTTCCCCCACTGAACCGCGAGAAGTCCTCTGCCCTTCTCCAAAGGAGAGAAGACGGAGGACTCCCGTGTAGTTCCCCACCTGAAATAAACTGCGACCGAGCCATCCTCGAACCCCGCCCACGACGGGTGGTCGGGGACGTTGTACGGCTCGGCCGCCACCGCCATAACCCCACCCAGCTCCGCGAGGCTTTGGATCATGAGATCCTGGGCCCCGCGGGCGTGGTTGAGGTTACACTGTATTATGAGGGGAGGAGAAGAACCTATGATGTGGGTGGCACCTCCACCTCCATCCCTTCCTCCTGGGCACTTTCCTCAAGGAGCTGGATCGCCCCCTCAGCTGTCGTCGGTGTTGGGGTTGCTCCCAAGGCGCCGGCGGTTTCCGTCCCCGCGGCTGGTTGGGGTGAAACACTCGCGCCAGCCTTCTGCGCCCTGCTTTTTCCCCTCTTGGGGACGGGGGCGCAGGCCTTACTGCCCAGACGGTGGGCCGCTGGTCTGCTGAGATCGGCGCACAGCGGGCACCTTGGTGGCTCCGTGCACTCCGCTGCGTGGTGGCCCCGGCCACCGCACCGGTAACACCGGCCCCTTCGATCTTCTCCCGGCGCGGTGTAGGTGCACGTCGTGATGACGTGCCCGCGCCGGAGACATCGGTGGCACTGGAGGGGTCTCCGCTCGAGGGCCTCCACCGGTGCGCGGACCCACCCTACCCGGATGGCTCCCTCCGCGACCACCTTTCTGGCCGCCGTTAATGGGCATTGCACCCAGGCGGTTTGCAATCCGCTGGAGGAAGCGCGAGCTTGGCCGACCTTGATATCGGTCGGCCGACAACCCCCGACGGATGCAACCGCGGCCCTAACCTCGTCCGAGGAGACAGAGTCCTCGAGGCCTTTTATCCGCATTTCTGCGGTTTTAACGGGCCTCGAGACCCTGGCTCCCTTTTCTGCCGCGTAAGGCGCCATGGCGGCGCACAACGCGTCCGCCCTTGCCTCACTGTTGTCACCGGGGACCTCCATGACCAGGGCCCCGGTGATCGCTCGTTTCGGCCGGATCACGTCAACGCCGTGGTCCTCCGGCCGAACCTTCCCTCTGATGTACGCCATCACGTCCCCCAGTTTGACATTGGGTTGGACAGTCGTGAGCGTGATGGCCGCACATCTGGGGGGCTTGCCTAGCTTGGGCTTGGGTGAGGAGGGTTTGCCGCCCTTGGCGGCGGCAGTTCTCCCTTCTTTGCCCTTGGGTTGGGGTGCCGGCACTAGCGCCGGTTCACCTTTTGCCCTGCTTTTACCTTTCCCTCTTCTCACCACTTGGGTCCAAGGCTCATCCGTAGGGGGAGGAGAGGGCTGGGAAGAAGAGGTCTGGTGTCGAACGGGGGCGTTTCAACTTGGAGCACTTGCCCCCGGATTTTGATCGGTGGGTCCACTCGGGCCGTCGCCCGTGCCGCTCTTTCCCTTCTTTTTCTTTCTCTTTTTTTTCTTTGCTTTTTTGTCCTGACCCTCCCCTTTCTGGGAGGGAGAGGACTTGGCCGCGGTGGGGGCGCCAGGAGGGGGAGAGCTCCTATCCCGCGCTCGCTCCTCATCAGGGAGGGTGACGACGTTTCCCCCGGTGGCGGCTCTCCCACTGTCCTTCTGGGCGGCGGAGGACCCCAGAGACGGGCGGAGGTGGCGGTGCTTCAGGCTCTCCCAGAACTTGGAGAGCTGTTCCCTCACACCATCCATGATCCTCCGCTCCCAGTGCTTGAAGGACTCTGGATCCCTGGGCCTCCCCGTACGCGGGGGAGGAATCGGACGACCTTCGTCCCTTAGGGGCAAACTTGCAGCCCCATCACTTGGGCCCTTTCGGGAGGGACTCTCGGCCAACCTAGGGGGGGGCTCAGCCGCCCCACCCTGCCCTCCCGGGGTGCCCGGGGGAGATGGTGGCTCAGGTGAGGACCGGGCGCCCCCGCCACTGCCTCCGTGGGATGCGGAGGGCACGGGCGAAGACGACTCGATCGGTCGCTCACTTGGCCTTTTCTTCTTCGCCTCCTTGAGACGTGCCATTCTGAGGGACATGAGATCCTTCCTCATGTCCCGCAGTTCGTCGTGGAGCGCTTCGACCTCCGCTCTGAGGGTCCTATTCTCGGCGGCAACGCTGTCCAGTTTGACCTGGGCAGCCTCTTTGTCGCCCCTCAAGGCGGAGATCTTTTCGCGCATCTCCGCGACCTCCTCGTTAAGCCTCTTGTTGGCCGCACTCAGGCGCCTGACCTCGGCGTCCGAGCTGGCGCGGCCAGCCAGGAGGTGCACTGCCTCTTCCATACCGGAGGCAGCCTCCTTAAACTGCCTCACGAAGGTGCCTTTCAAATTCTTCGATTTCACGGCCATCCTCCGCACAGACGCAGCAAGCTTACTGGCCTGCTCCACGATCTGCGCGGAGGGCATGTCCTCGGCAATGATGGACACCTTCGTGAGCTCCGTCCCGTGGCCCTGCTGTTGTTGTTGCAGGGGCTGAGATGGGCCAGTGGATCTCGTGCTGACGCGAATGGACTCAAAGTCCTCCAGCAACTCGCGCTCAGCGCGCATCTCCATCTCCATCTGTTTGGCCTCGAGCAATTGCCGTTTGGCTTGCGCGAGGCCAACATACTCCCCTGTGGCCGGGGGTCGGCCTCTCCCCCGCTTTCGGGGTTTCCCTACCGAGTTAGCCCTCTGTGTGGATGACAGAGGGTGGGGAACCCTAGCTTTGGCCCTTGATGGCGGTTGGGCCTCCTCCCGCGGAGCCGACACTATCTCAAACTCCGACTCGGAGTCAGTGTCGCGGGGCAGTGTGGCAATCAGCGCCCTCGTCAGGGAAACCCCGGATGACAGGCCAGATGGCCCTGACCGGGGGTCTCTACCAACGGGGGGGGGAAAGATGGACGTTCCCGGCTGACCCCACCTCCTCGTCTGATTCATCCGAAAACAGGGGTTTATTCCTGTTCCCGAAACCGCCGCCCTTGATCTTCCGATGACTCCCTGAGAGGTCGGGAGAAGAGGAGCGGCAGTGCTCAACTGGCGTCATTTTGACGTCAGCCTTCGCAGTAGCTGCATCCCGTGACACCCCTGCGGTGCAGGTATCACGGAGCCCGTCGCAGGATGACGACGTGGCGGAGCCCGGGACGGTAACCCCACCGCGCCGGGACCTGAGGATCCGATCCCCCTGGTCCGGTACGCCTTCCTTTTCTTTTTGCAACATCTCCATAAATGTAAAAGTTGCGGTTTTATATCGAACTTGGACCTGTCCTAGGCCGATTGGCTTACATACCTGACGAGCCCGCCCTGCCCGGGTTTTCTGTTAGGGTTTTCCTTCCCCTAGACACACTCTTTGTCTGGCCGCTCACTGAGGACCTGTCCGGCAAGGGAGACCCTGCCAGGAACCGAAGTTCCCGCCGGCATAGCTCCTCAGGTCGTCGCGGCACGCAAGCTCGGGGACCACGACAAGGTGATGTGCCATCCCCCGAGAAACGACATACCTCTCCACCAAGTGTCAACGCAGCGTGCATCTCGCAACAATATTTATGTAACCTAATATTATTTATTATATTATATTATATTATATTATAAAGTGTAAATTTGTATAAATTTCATAATGTAATTTGATATATATATTGTGTATTTTTATATATTGTATATATATTGTACTATTGACAACTTACAAGAATTCGCTCTACCCACAAGCTAACAGATGCGAGGGGCAAGGGGAATCGTCCGTCCGCTCCACCCAATCTCCTCTATCAGGTAGGTTCGTCGAGGCGGTGAGGATATCCCCACAAGCGAGAACCGTGTGAGCTCACGGACACCTTCTTGCTTGTAGGCATTAGAACCTACCTAGTAGAGGAGATTGGGTGGAGCGGACGGACAATTCCCCTTGCGTCTGTTAGCTTGTGGGTAGAGCGAATTCTTGTGAGCTGTCAATAGTATGTATATTGTATGTATATTTGTTGTAAATATATATGTATATATATTTATTGTTTATTTACATTCATATATATACACAGTTTGTCCGGAAAGTTCCCGGACTGATTTTTTCTAGCGCGGGTAAGCGGCGCTATCGAGCGGTCAACGCTGGAACTACTTA